AGACACAAATAAAAATACATTTAATTCTTGTTATGAGACAAGACAAGTACTTCCATCTGCACCGAGACAAATGAGTAGTTTTCTGAGATACGGTAGCATTTAGTTTCTTACCCATACATAACGAAATATAAATTGAGTATAAAATAAACAAAATAGAAATAAAAAATAGTGGGTCAGCCTTGCATAAAAAGTTAGTAAGAACAACCATCCTAGAAAAAAATAAAGTTAGTATAATTTAATCATAAGTAACTTGCTAAAGAAGTATAAAAATGCACCGTTTCATACTTAAATAATTCGAATTGACCAAGACTTAAAGAATAAAAGTTGTACAGAATCAAATTTCCTAAAAGACAACTTGAATGGATTTAGTAGAAATTGAATAGGTTGAGAGAAAAACTTGATAGAAGAACCTAGACGGAATTCAACCGAAAAATCTGAAGCTGAAAATGAATAGAAACTGCCCAAAGATGATTTTTTTCGAAAAAGTTCAAAACACGAAAAGTGTGCAGAATAATTTTTTACTTCAGTTTACACGAAGCCAATAAAAATGAGCTTATTTCATGGGTTGAAACAATATCTAAAGTCTGCCCTGCTAAAATGAATAAAAACTATTGTAACAAAGATCATCTGATTACAAGTTTTAATCGATCTTTTTAATAAAAAGTTAAAATACAAAAGTTATCTAGAAGCACGTACAGATGTCTTTGCTCAAATTTCATAATTTATCGAGGTCGTTTATTATTTTTCAAAATGTACAAATCTATACAATTCACACTATAATAATAAATTTATACTTAATTCTTTGTACTTTCACTCCACCACTTTGGCCCATCACTTCCCGTCTACACATATATCTCATGTGTCTCCCGTATATATAACATTGCTCTGAAGCCAAAATTACACAGGGATATCGTCTCGAGTTTGACCCATACTCCCTGGATGGTTAGCATATACGTACGCCCGTAAATCAAAGCACTTTTCTACTCATGAGAACAAGGCAACAATATATATATATGTACACAATCTCTCATCTACTCATAAGAACAAACATAACAATGTCAAACCTAAGGCATTCAAATAAATCTCATAATTCTCACTCTTTTTTTTTATACACTCTTTCCCACTTCTCACCAACACTCAAATAAAATAACAATCTATGGACTCATGGTGGAGTATAAATAATTTATTTATGGGTTCCTAATTTATTTTAATTTCATATATCTATTAGTACGATTACAATTATAAAATAAATGAAAAATGCTTGAGACCCCTATTTTTTGGAGACTCCCATAACCCCTTTGGATCTCCGCCATTGATGTATGTATAGGACCCACTCATGTATGTGTAGGGCCCACACCATCAATGGTGGAGATCCAAAGGGGTTGTGGAGGTCTCCAAAAAAAGGGGTCTCAATCATTATTGAAAATAAATACATATAAAAACCCTAAGCCTGACATACACATCTAACCAAATAAAAAAATCAATCCATCATCTACATGCAATTACAAAATCAAACCAACATCAAATAAATAAAAACAACGAATCAATCCATCATCTAACCAATATCTATGGATTCTAAGTTTATTTCAATTTCATATAATCATGAGTGTGATTACAACCATAAAATAAATATAAAAAAAAACCCTAAACATTGCATACACTACTAACCAAAATAATTAAAATCAATCCATCATCTTCATGTAAATACAAAATCAAACTAACATCAAATAAATAAAAATAAAAAATAAAAAATAAAAAATAAAAAAAACTAATTAAATATAAATCAAGAGAAGTGAATTTTATACTCACAATTATTTTTTTAAAGATCAAAAAAATATTTAAAAAATTAATGGAACCCCCAAAACAAAATCCTAACTCTTTTTTTTTCTCTCTCTCCTCTCCTCGTTTCTCTCTCTCTCTCGGCAAAGAGCCTCTCTTCTTCCTTTAATCACTCTCCCCCCCTCTCTCTCTCTCTCTCATACACACTCTCGGCTGCTGTGAAAAATCTTCCACCAAAAAGTTGTTGGAAAAATGATTTAATGTAGGCATGTTTTTTAGCCCAATTTTAAGTGGGCTCCAAACGTTGTTTGAGGTGGGTCCGACAAGGTGAAGTATTCCTTGCCGCATGGCAAGTCACACGGTGAATACGGAACTTCAAAACCATTTATGAGTGAATGGGAAGTTGACGTCGTTTTCGGATCTAACATTAATTTTTTAGATAAAATTCATTTGAATTTTTTCAAAAAAAAAATTATTGTGGGAATTTAATTTAATTCTAAATTCTAAATTTGGGTTCCTAAGTGGTTTCCTAAAGTTTGTCAAATAGATTAATATTTATATTCTAAATATTGTTTTATTAAATCTATTCAACTTTTGGCTTTATTTGATTAAACTATTCTAAATAGTTTAATAAATATATATATTCCAACTGTTTTGAATCTAGTACAAACGGATCTTTTCTTTTCACATGTTTGAATATTTGTGTGCTAGTGTAACGGTCACAGAATTTGTTTGAATTCAAATTCTGAAATTGTCCATATTTTGCACCTGTTCACTACATGTTTTGCACTTGTTCGGGACAGCATTTGTGTGCCTATATATACCTACTTTCAGCAGTGTTTAGGGATCCGAAATTTAGTCTGCATGTTTGATATTGCTGTCCAGATTTCATTTGTATGCATTACTCTTCATTTTAGATTTAGAATAAATTAAAGAGAGTATAGAACACAAGGTTTGGTTCGCCGTACAATTTTGTTTGGTGTGGTATAACAATCTTGTGAAGATCATTGTATCCTGGGAGATAGACGCCACTCAACTGTAAACACCGCAGCGGGGCGAATCTGTCTTAAGGACAGAGTGTCACACACTCGACTTAGTCTTAATTTTAATTTGGTTCGATAAATAAATCCGGTATGTTATTTATTTATTTTGTTTGAATTTATTTCAAGTTATTTTATTTACACAGAAGATTGTTCCAACAATCTTAAGACAGATTTGAATTATTTTGTTTACAAAATTTTTCATTTGTTTCCTTTTCTAAGGAAATTATTTTCTGTGGATTTACAAAGTAATATTCTGGTTGGACAAAACAAATAGTGATTATATGCTATTTGACAGATAGTAGTAATATACTGTCTATTTTCTTTGACAACTAGTAGTACGATACTGATGTCATTAACAATTCAGAATATATTTTTGTGAAATTTTGTCAGAAAATTAATTTTGGTTTTTAGAAATTATTTTTCGTGTTTTCATTGATTAAAATTCTGTTTCAGTATTTTAATTATTGGAGTGTTACAAGAGATTTAAATTTCTATGTGAAATTAATTTGGTTAAATAAAATTTTATTTTATTTCCAAATTAATTGGAAAAATAAAAATTAATTTGGTTAAATAAAATTTTATTTTATTTTATTTCAAATTAATTGAAAATAAAAGTTACATTTTGTTTTGTTTCTTTTATTTTAACAGATTTTATATTTGTAGTTTTGGTTTAATTTGTTTAAATAAAATTTTATTTTATTTTTAAATTAATTGGAAATAAAAGTTACAATTTTTGTTTCTTTTATTTTTTACAGAATTTAAAATTCTGTGTTTTTTGGTTTTAATTTTTTGTGTAGTATTAAATTCTAATTATAATTGTGGTTTATAATTTAAAATTTATGGCTACTAAAACTGGTCAAACTAATGTTCAAACTAGTACTGGTATGATGATTACCATTACGCCAACCTCTCCTTATGTTGAGACTATGCCAGTGTATCGTGGTGAAAAACCAGGAAAGTTCTTAGGAACTGTTTTTAAAAGATGGCAGAAGAAAATGCTATCTAAAGGAGGGGAAACTAAGAAGTACAAGTTTAATGGCATGTGTTACATTTGTAACAAAGAGGGACATCGGACCAAAGATTGTCGTTACAAACGTAAAGGGAAAGGAAGATCAAGTAAGAAGGTTGCTAAAACCAAAATGACCGAATTGGATAAAATTTTCAATGGTGTAGATGTCATCAATCTTTCTGCAGTTGTTTCCGAGGCAAATCTTGTTGGAAATCCTAAAGATTGGTGGGTGGACACTGGTGCTACTCTCCATATCTGTGCCGACAAAAAGATGTTCACATCTTATTCTACAGTGGACAATGGTGAACAACTTTTTATGGGCAACTCCTCAACTTCCAAAGTTGAAGGACAAGGGAAGATTGTTCTGAAAATGACATCAGGGAATGAACTCACTTTTAACAATATGCTGCATGTACCGGACATTCGCAAGAATTTAGTTTTCGGATCGTTGTTGACTAAGAATGGGTTTAGGCTAGTTTTTGAAAGTGACAAGTTTGTACTTACTAAAAACAAGATGTATGTAGGAAAATGTTACATGTCTGATGGCCTTTTCAAGTTAAATGTAATGACCGTTGTACCCTTAGTTATTAATAATAATACATCTTCTTCTTACTTGCTTGAGTCTTCAAATTTATGACATGGTAGACTAGGACATCACTACAAGAATTAACACAATTACCGACCACTTTTGCCGACCAAAAATATTTTGGTCGCAAAAAAATCACATTTAGCTACTAAGAAAAAATTAGTAGGCAAAAGTTCATACTTTCACCGACTAAAGTAATTTGGTCGCTGAAAAGCAAACATTATGCGTGGGATACAAAATAGTAACATTACACTACAAGAATTAACACAATTACCGACCACTTTTGCCGACCAAAAATATTTTGGTCGCAAAAAAATCACATTTAGCTACTAAGAAAAAATTAGTAGGCAAAAGTTCATACTTTCACCGACTAAAGTAATTTGGTCGCTGAAAAGCAAGTTTTCGCGACTAATTTGAAATATTGGTCGCCAAAAATTTAGGCGGCAAAGTGAAAAACAGGGAGGGAGATTAAAATCTTTTAGCGACTATGACAATTTAGTCGCACATTTCAAAACGACGTCGTTTTTGTTTGTTAAATGCAGAGAGTCCAAATAGCCGACCAACACAGTTTGTAGGGGAAAACAAATCAAACCCCTATAATATTTCACAAAAACGCGCCTAATCGATCCCACCCTCCCAGTTGCGTCACTCATCTCGCCTCTTCACCATCAACGCTGCCGTCCGCCGTCCTCGCCTCTCCACCGTCAGCGCCACCATCCGTCTTCGCCTCGCCACCGTTATCTAGGTATATTTTTTCAAGCTTCTGTCTCTCTCTGTCTATCTCTCTCTGTTCCACTCGTTCTCTTTGATTTCCCCTCTCTTTCTCATTCTCTTCTTGTTCTGAAGAGAGCATTTCAGTGGAAGAAGGAGCTTTGTAACTCCGTATAGCTCATCGGCATCGTCGTTACACCTGTCCAAATCAAGGCCCCCAGCTCCGGTAAGGCCGTCGTTTGGTCTCGCCTAGCCGTCAAGAAATACTCTACCGACACTGCCTGGTAAACATTTCTTCATTTTTTGTTGAAACCAACCCATTTATAAAATCAATCAGTGTATGTAGGGTTTTCAGATTGTTTTGTTAGTCTTGTCTTGTTAATACCAAAATGGCATCATTAATGATTAGTGGGAATTTTGGCCCCAAATCCTGGGTTTGGGAATTTTGATGCTAGTGTCTGATTAGTGGTTATTTTGGCCCCAATTCCTGGGTTTGGGAATTCTGTTGCTAGTGTGCCTCATGTTTTGAGCCTAAAAACAAATTGAGGTATAAATCCTCTCTCCCTCTCTTACTCATTCTCTGTCTCTCTCCCTCTCCCTCTCAATGTTTGTGTTCATGTTTTGTTTTTTTTTGTTCTCGTTGTTTTGCCTAAGGTAAGAAAGCAGACTCAGATTTGTACTGTTCCTTTGTTTTTGGGATGATGAAAATGCATTAAAAATTATTATTATCATCTAAGTTTTCTTGAATTATGTAGATGTATCTAGAATTTGTTCGTTTACTTAATTAAATATAAGAGCCATCTTCTGGAATAGAAAAATAATGCTAATGGTGAAATCTGATCCGTTATTTGCATTTTATTAAAAAAAATTGTGGGTACGTAAATCTTTGATAGATTATGGTGTTTGGAGGCATCCCTTGGTAAGAAATTCAAATCCACTTTCTCTTCTCTCTCAATTTCCCATCCTTCCCTTCAATTTTCTCAGTTCACTGCTCTGTAGTCTGTAACACAAACCAGGATTAGGGTTTTTTATTTTTATTTTTATACTTGGAATGCAATTTAATAAGTTCTTGTTTTTCTTGTTTAGATTTCTTTTGATGGTGAAATTGTAAAGCTAGAGCTTTTCTTGAAATGATTTACTCTGTTTCATTAGGGTCGTTGTTTTGTCTATATACCTAGAAACCAAACTTTGAGAAATTTAGATGTTGTAATTTAAATGTCGCCGGAAGGGGTGAATTTAGGTGGTGATGGAGCAAAATACTTGTTTGCCATGGAGTACCATAGTAATGTCAATACCTCTTTCTATCTCTAGGTTTCACTATCTTCAAGGCAGACTTCAAGTTCTTCCTTGTCCCCAAAGTTTGAGAGGGAATGATAAGATATCTGAGTCATGTGTAGCTACAGCTGAGCCATGTGTAGCATAATAGCAGCCATGTGTAGCACAGCAGCAGCCATGCCTAGCTACAGAGCTACAGAGCAACTCTAGCTGCAGCTGCAGCTGCAGCCTCAGCTCATTGCAGCAGTCTTAGTCATCCACACAGCAGCTACAGCTGCAGCTCCAGCTTCAGCTCAATGCAGCCTTCTCAGATCCAGCTATTTGTCTGTTAGAACTATGGTTAGTTAACTGTAAGAAAGTGTGGTTGGATTAGGTAGGTAGTAGTTACATTGCATCAGATGTATATATAATGAACTAGAACCCTCTGGGTTTGTTAATGAATGAAATAAAGCTTAGTTTCTTTATCAGCACCCTCATAACATCCTTGTAGGCGAATTAAGGAGTGTCAGTTATGGGTCTGTTACATTTCTCTAATAAAAATTACATTGAGTCAATCTTAGGGAAATGTGTCCAAAATTCCTAGTCTATTCTCTTCTTTCCCTTTCTTGGCAATTGTAGCTAGTTTATCTCCCATATTAGTTTCAATAAAAACAGTGTGGGTAAAAATTTACACCACACATGCTGTGAGAGAAATATTTTCTTTCTAGATTTGGGTTATGATATATAATAATAAAGATGAATATCTCAAGATCTCAACCTACAAAGCCGAGGTTACAATCTATCCGGTCATATCGTTGACCCAAGGGCACTGATGCTGAACTTAGCAACAATTTTGTGGAGAATGATCAATAACACAAATATTTACGTCTTTTTATTTAAAATTTATTTTTCTCACTTTTTTAGATGAAAATTATTATTAGATATTTAAATTTAATTTTTAATATATTTTGGAATCTAATTGATATTTTGAGTATAATTTGAGAGGCAAAATGAAATTTCGATACCACATTAACACCTTCTGTTTAATTATAAACATTAAACAAAAGGAGTAAAACCTTTATATGTTGTAGTGGGGTAATATTGATTTTAACTGATAATTTAATGAATAAAATAAAATTTTCTTTTAAAATTATAAGGATTAAATTAAAATTTTAATTATCTTATAAAAAAATAATAAAAGACTGTAATTAATTAAATGTTTCGCCTTGAATCTCAAATAAGCTTGAATCGCATCTGCCCCCAACTATATGATTACAAAAGATTTTCTGGTAATAACTTGGAAGCTAGAAAAGTTACTTTTTCTAGAATCCACAGTCACAATAATAATGTCAGTTTTCTTTCTGCTAGATTTTCTGTTTACAAAATTATTGTTTGTTATTGGTAAGCTTGTCCACATCAATAGAATTCTCTCTAAATCACCTAAATTTAGTTATAGTACTCAGAAGAGACGTCTTAATTTTTTGTCAACTGATTTTGAACTAAATGTTTTAAATGACGACGGGGGATGCAGAATTTTTACTTAAGGGGGCAAACATTTAAATAACTAAAAAAATTAGGACAAATTACTATGTATAGTCACTGTACTTTGGCCTTTGTGTCAATATGATCCTTGTGATTTCAACTAACTCGATTTTGAGATTGAAACTAATCTACGGATGTTACAGGTTCGTATGTCTAACTACGGATGAGATTGAAACTAATCCACATGCATATATCTAATATTACTGTGTTGAACATTGTAGCTGGCAGGGGTCCAATGTGCTGGAAACCCACAGTTTTGCGTGAACGAGGATGGTTCATAACAGGAAGAGGGACAAAAAAATACAAGAGGGTATATCTGGGGTAAGGTGTGTATCGATGTCCATCTACATCTACTTCTGTATCACTCCCTTTTGATCTTACAAAGGACATTTCCAGAAAGATAATTTTAATCATTTTAATAGCCAAGGAAACCTAATTCTTTGAAGTTGCTTCCAATACCCTTTACACATCTCAGGTGGCAGAAACAAGAACCAGAACATGCAATATTCAAAATTTGTGCTTGCATTGATGATTGAGGGAGTTTAGGATGAACCTCTTCATAAATGCAAAAGGTCCTTGAAGGAGCTATTTGTTTAGCATAGAAAGTGCTGCCAATTTAGGTGGAAGAAAACCACTGGCGGCCAATAGCAGGCACCTGCAACAATGAAGTTATTGAGATTCATTCTGTGTAGCATTTTAATATTTAGTCAAGCTCAAAACTTCATTTAGTTTTCCTAATTTTACCAGAGAGTCTTGGTACACCATCTACCATATATATCAGGCAGCAACAATTTAGTTTTATAGTTAACCCGACATATAGGATGCAGTTAGATAATATTCTTCTACGTAGTTTCCTAGAAACATTTGATCTTTTAACACTCCCTAACTACTTCAAACTACTCCCTTCGCATCTTCTTTCCCTCACCCCACCTTACAATTGCTTGCTTAATCCTATGGCCTTTCCTTCCCAAGCTGACCAAGGACAACCCCAAAGCATCGAGCACCTCTTTAAATTGGAACACACCTTCCTCATTGATAGGAAAAGAGAATAATTGGCTCATCTCCCTCAACCATTTCTTAGTTTCATTAGAACTCCTATCCCCTCCCACTACCCTTAGCGTTACTATGATTGGTGGTCACCTTCTTAGAGACCACAATCTCATGGCATTTCTTTCAACATATTCATTTGTTAAAGTATTACACTATCCTCAACGTCAGAATTGCTGAGCTTGTACTATCTTTATGTAATATTAAGATTACTACTTGAGAAGAAGACAATGTAGCTACACACCATGGGGGAAGGGGGATCTCTATTTGCTAAACAGGTTCTATATATCATTAAGAGCATTAAATATGCTAAATTCTGTCAAAACACAGTATCTTTACTAAGTGGTTGCACAATTGAATGTCATAGTTTTGAACAGTTCAATGAAACAGTAAATCTTCTAATGCACACACATGAAAGCAGCGAGCAGAAAATGAGTGTAAATAAACTATCAAGTCAAAGTAGTGCAGAAAAATATTCTGAAAAGAGTTCTTGAAATTTCATTGCCTCTTCATAGAAGAAAAAGGCAGATAGCACAGAGGTTTATTTACTGGGTAATAAAAACAAACGGCAAAACAGAATGTGCCATTTTTTGTATTCTCTAATGACATACTATTTAGCAAAGCCACAGAAATATACCTGTGAGAAGTTAATTCCGCAAGCGATGTGAACTTCTGGAGAAGGGAATGCAACTACAAAAGAATCATTCATCCTTGCATGAACAGGTTCATTAAGTAAAGGTGCCATTTTCTCACAACTCTTTCCTCCCTGACCTGTGGCCACCCTTAACCCAACTTGTTCAATTGCTTCCACCCACTCCCTTTCATATCCATCAAATATAGGAACCTGCGTCAGTTTATTTGGATACTATTAGTCTCCTTGTGACCATTGGTTCAATGGTAAAATCTTGAGGTTATAGGGGTGACCATTGGTTCAATGGTAAAATCTTGGCCTAATAACCTTGAGGTTATGGGTTCAAGTCTCAGGGCAGCCACTTTGTGCACTATGCCAAAGGTTAGGTGTGTACCCAATCTTTCCCCTCTCAAACACACATTAATGTGTACTATTTGGGCGTTGTTGTTGTTGTTAAACGTAGTTACCTTTCAGGCTGGTACAAAGCTGGTTTGTGCTGTACTATCCCTTCATGTTCCTTCCAAGTCTGCAAATCCTTGTGGAGAACAAGTGAATAATCTGGTTAGCCGAGCTGTGCTTGACTACACTGAGCAGAGAACCCTTCAAAAACTTCTTTTAATTGGATATAGTGGGTCTGGGACTAGTACTATATTTAAGCAGGTACTTTCCTAATGTGGTTATACAAGTTTCTTGCGTTCTCCATTTTGTTCCTTACTTATTTTGTTATTTATTTATACATAGAATAAAAGATATTTTAATTCTTAGTTTTTTAATTTATATTTCAATTATTTATAACTTCTTTCCAATAATGCATTTTTGTCCTAAAGAATAAATTTGACAAATTAGTTAATTTAATTAGTAAAAACTCATTTATTAATGAATTCTATAATGACTCAACATACATAAATCACTTTGCATTTTAACCATAACCACTTGTGCATAAATATTGTTATTGATATGAGTCATTTGTTTCCTCCTGATAGTTGTCATCCTACAGGATGTGTGATTATACTTACTAATTTATTATCTTTGGACATTAATTACAAGTGGATGACAAAGATGCTTGTTTATACCATACTGTTTAAAATTTGTTTCCATTTTCTTTAATTTTAATGAAGTCATGTTGGCATTGGTTCTACACTGAATTGACATGATCTTTTAAATTATGTCTTTTATTGGTCCAACGCTTTGGACATTGCCACCGGGATTGTTGAGACCCCATGAAGATGGCTCTCTTTCACTAGGAATACGCGATATTCATTAGCAAGCGTCTGGTGTTGGCAAAGGCCCCCAAAATTAGTGTATTTATTAATATAAATTCTTGTGATAGGCCAAGATCCTTTATAAAGATGTCCCTTTCTCGAAAGATGAACGTGAGAATATCAATGAAAGTAAGCTTGAATAGGGCTCTAATTGAGCCTGAGCCAAGCTCCTCGTTAATCAATGAAAATTCCAGTGCTCTAAGCTTGGTACCTTCTTCTTCTTCTTCTTCTTCTTCTTCTTCTTCTTATTATTATTTTTTTTTTTTTAAATTCTAAAACAAATAGATTAAAGTTTTTAGAGTTCTTAGATGCAGACACTTAGCCATGATTCTCAAAGCATATCAAAGCATATTGCTTATGCTCCATGTATTTGGATGTCTTGGTCAGGGCATTGGCCACATACTGCCGCAGGCCACCACCTTTGGCAGCCTCCCAAACCTCCAACTGCCCCCTCTAGTAACTCACAGAACCCAGGGTTTTATTTGAGTCCTCTGTTTGGTACTATTTCTGATCAAACATGAGTTTAAAAGAGAAATAGCCAAGATAAATGAGAATAGGAAGTCCAAGATAAAAAGAAAAAAACAAACTACCCAAGAAGGTGCTTCTGCTTGTGCCGGTGCCGGTGCCAATGCTTTTTGGTTATTGTTTTCGCTGTATCTAACACTTGTACTCAATAATTGTATCTAAATTCATGTAACAAAGAGGTTAAAGCATGTCTAAATACCCAAGTGTATATTTTGTGGACACTTTGGCACTTTGGCTACAAATTGAAGTTATGAATGAAGGTGTAAATTGAGCTGGTGGTACAGAAAAATGTGATTTGGATTGAGCTCCCAATATGTGTCTGTCACTTGAGTGTGAGTTGGGGTCCATGGGGGACTTGTAGGGGAATGTAATATCATTAGACTGACATGGTTTGTGCACATGTAACTTTGTTGGTATGGGTGTATTAAAACAGAAACTTGCATTCGTATCTATAATGCATTTGTAAATTTTTTGTAGGTACTGTATGCGTTGGGGTCTGCTACCCCCTACAAAAAAATTACGGGAATGTGCTTGGAAAAAGCTTTACATGCAGGTATATTTAGGTTCGACTTACAGCTTTTTGGTGAGCATATCAAAATCCATATAAGACGTTGATTTTTTATACCCAGACTCTTCTTCATTCTTTTTCTTCTAATTTATCAAGTGAGAGGAAGATTAGTTATTGACTTTAAAGAAACTTGTCTCTTTGAGCTTACTCAGAGCTCCTGTATTGCATCTCTTCTATGATATTCCTTGGATGATTTTATCCTCTTGTAATTGACACATTGGATGCTTATTGATGAGGGGGAATTGCAAGAAAATGGTATCAACTCAAAATAATTGCAATGTCACAGAAGTACAAACAATTCATGCATTAGATTGTGCAACTAAATCTTGTGTTTCCACCTCTTTGCTATTATTTTGAGTTTATATCATTTTATTGCAGTTGCCCCTATTGATAAAGCTAGATTAAGTTTAAAATTTGGTTTAGAAGAATTACTTTCTTCTTGCAGCGTGATGAAGAGGACATGGCTGAATTTGTTAGGAATTGCCCCGCTGAGTTCAAAGAGTATTATGTCCAAATGTAGGCAGCAAAGAGAAACCAAACACCTCTTCCTTCTCAGGTAAACAGGGGTAGCTATTGGGCTGAAACTTTTGCCTTCTAAGATTTAAAAGGGTATTTGGGGAATCACTGTCTTTCATTCTTTCTTGTAAACTTTGTACAAATCAATAGGCCTTGGAATCTAATCCATAACTTGCTAATGCATGAATCCCCTTTTTGGATGAACCATGCACAGGGATTGACTTCTTCAAATGAGTCTCAATGAAAATTAGCAAATGCATTTCCTTAATTACTATTTATTCCTTTTTTTCCCCCCTCTCTCTTTATATATCTGAAGGTGAATGATGACCGGATTATTCTTGACAAGACTCTTACTGATCAAGTGTCTATATGGAAAAGCAGCAGAGGCCTGACTGATAAGGTGGTCTTGGACCATGATTGCTCTGGAGAAACATGTACTTACTATCAAATTGGAGATGTATTTGTTTGTGAGAAGACTGGGCAGGTTCATGGTATGAAACACTAGTTGTGGTTATTGAATGTGGCATTAATGTTTGTTTGTTTAATAGGTACAATTACATAGATTGGAAATGTTATTATTAATAGGTACAATTAATAGGTACAATTACATACAATTGTTTAATAGGTACTTTACACCCGTCCCTTCCGCTGCCAGCGTTTGTTCACTTTTGGACCGGGTTGGTAAACATGTTGATTGTATATTTGATCAAGTTCTAAGTAAAATACTTATCCTTAAATCTAATCTTTGATTGGAAATGTTAATCACAGGCAGGTATATATGTTTAGGTGTGATTTTGGGTGTTTCTTTTCTTCAAACAAACTAATCAACCAAACTAGAATTGGAGTGCTTACTATTACTAATTGTTGTTCTTTTTTCCTTTTCTCCTGGTACCACCCCTGGAAGGTTGTCATAAAGCTCATAATTAGAGAATGTGATGCTTATGGAAACCTGTAAATTTTGTTGTTGCAGTTATATGTGGATACCTTGGTGAAGAAAGCATATGATAACTGGAACCATGTTGTTGAATATGATGGCAAGTCACTTTTGAGCTTCAAACAAAGTAAGAGGCCAGGCGCTTCTGGAAATGAACTTCCAATGGGCCCAGTCAATTATCCTACTTCTTTTGAAAATCAACTTCCCCAACAACGGTTAGCAGGCTCAGTTCCTCCTGAGCAGTCGTCAATGGATTCAAGTCTACTAATTGGAGGTAGGCATGGCCTCTTTTTCTTTCTTTTTGGATTGGTTACGAATTGCTCCCCCCGCCTCCCAAAAGGAAAGGGGAAAAAAGGAAAGAAAACGACTTTTTTCTTAGGCTGTTCATGGGTACGTGGTAGCAAGCCCATTGGATAAATGGGTCGAACTATTGTATGGCATTTGAAGCTTAAACAGTTTGGCTGGTTGCACTGGAAAAATCTGAAACCACTTGCTTATTAGTCTGTCTACCCATGTACCTAAAAAAAATCCTCAATTTTCTCTTGTGCCTTTTGCTGTTCCTCTTGAAATGGATACCTCCACAATATTCTCAAATATTTTAATTCTATTATGATGTCAGTAGACTTGTGAAAATGATAATGTCCAATCCAAGAAATTGGAATCCTTGCCATGATTTATATAGGAAAAAAATGAGCTGTATGGACTTTAACAATTTGCTGCTAAACAACCCGTAATTTACCTCTGCTAAGTAGTTAAAACCATATTGTGGTGTTGAGGCTTAACTTTAGTAGACAAGTTCTTATGGTGCTGCAACTTTGCTCCAGTCTGGCACTCTTAAAATTTGTCAAACTTTAGAGTTGAAAATCATTTGACGAATAGGGGCAATCTTGACAACATCCAACTAAAGATAGGAACGAGATTTTTTGAGAATTGGTGAACTTGGTAAAGGGAATTAAGTTACTTAAGTTTTGTTAATAAAAGTAACGCATTAATTAAATCAAGGGTTCACCCCCCAAAACACGTTTAAGAAATCCTTATTGGTTTTAAGCCACAAGCATTAGTTTTCACTTGAATTCACCTCTCCATTGGTGAATTGGGTAAAGGGAATTAAGTTACTTAAGTTTTGTTAATAAAAGTAACTCATTAGTATAATCAAGGGTTCGCCCCCCAAAACATGTTTAAGAAATCCTTATTGGTTTTAAGCCAAAAGCATTAGTTATGTAGGACATAAAAGTGTGACAAAGTAGGCAAAACCGGGGCGTTTGGGGTCCAAAACTGCTCTGAATTAGCTCCTCTCTATTTCTTTTTTTTTCCTTCTTTTCTCTTCCTTTGGTGGTCTGCATGGTGAAGTATTGCATCAGTCATGAAGGTGGACTGATCTGGAGCAATTCTAGTGGTCTGCATCAGATCTGTCTGGATGCTTGTGGTGGTGTGCTCCAGATCAATTCTGGTGGTGTGCTCCAGATCTGTGGTGGTCTGCTCCAGATCTGTGATGCTTGTGGTGGTCTGCAGCAGATCAATTCTGGTGGTGTGCTCCAGATCTGTCTTGCTTTTTTCTGATCTGTCAATCATCCTCACCTGTCTGGTCTGGATGGTCATCCTGATCAGTCTGGATGCTTGTTTTTGGAGTAAACTGGTGGTCTATATTGTGAAATTAGAAATTTTCACAAATTTTGTTCGAAAAAATGTCGAATTTCACAATTTCTCAAATTGAGAAACTAAAAAAATTACAATGTTTAAGAAACTGCAAAAGTGCACACTTTCTGTATAGAAATTGAGAAACTTCTTGATTTTTAAATATTGTGAAATTTCTAAATTTCAAATGCTACACATTAGAAACAACTAAAATAAAAAAAAAAAGTGCACAAATCATCATCATGGATTGTGGGCCTTATTAAAGAAAATATAGTACCGAGAACACCATACATTCTGTTGTATGAAAATGTTAGTGTTTGTATTTATTTTGATGGAATATGATCTTCAGGTGGTGATGTCAAATGGCATCGTTACAGAAGAAAGAATACAAATTAATAGTCAACTATATATGGTGGTGACTATCAACACCAATTCATATTTGTATTTACTAGGTGACAGTCAAACTATAAATACAAACTATTAATCATCGATGTATCAAATTTATTAGAGAGCTGCTATAATATTATTTTTTGTTTTTAAACATTTTTTTATATCACTGATCAATACATTGCATGATAAATATAAAGTAATATGTTAGTATTTGCTTTTTCTAAATACTTATCTCTAAATAAAAAACGATTAGAAATAAAACTACCCAATAGTCACAAACTTAACTTTTTCCAGGTAGTCAAAAGTTCTGTTTTACAAGTAGACTACCTACCTCCCCTTTGAGAGTGAATTGGTTGGGTTAATCAATCGAACAGCCTCTGGTATCAAGTGCCACACCTCTTATCCGATCTTCGCATTGGCATCTCCCTTGCATCTGCTCCGTGAATTGCCATGTAATGAAACCTGTTCATCCCATTCATTCATTATTATCAATCTAGATATATAGGTTGCCAAAATAGGAGTTTAATTAATTCACAATGAAAGGTTCATTGAGGAAGATAGGAGTTATTTGACAATATGGATCAATTTTAGTTGCCGGTTGGTTTCTGTGTGGCACTATATTTGGATCTGGATGGTGGCTCATCCAATTTATTCTATAACATAAATGCTATTGTTTTTATTTACAATTTGATAATGGTAGTCATTTTAATTTGCTAATGTGACCTTGCTTTTCATGGACATTTTCATTATTTGTCCAATTTTAACTGAAATTATTTTCTCTTTCTTTGTCAGATAGATGAACTCATGACAAAGCTAAATTGTACAAGACAAATTGCACTTTTGAAGTTTTGAAGATTATATATTTGTATAGATGTATATGGAAAATATTAGGATAGACTATGTATGTTAATTTTTGAACACTACTATATATTTTGGATGGGGGTCTATTAAAAATATTGTTAACTACTAGTTATATTTTGGGTTAGTACATGATAAAAATTAAAAACATAATAACAAACTGTTATGTCTTAAATTGTATCTAGATAGAAATTAGTTTCGAAATATGGATGTAAACTTATAATAGTTGCTAACTTTAATAAACAAGTTCTGAAAGTTATATATTTTGAATGTTGATTGAATTCAATTATTTGTTGGTTGATGATTCTCTTGTTACAGATGTATATTGAATAAATATAGATTATATAAATTACATTTATTTTTGATATTGGCTACCAAAATTGGTTAACGTTTTTATAGTTTGGCGACCAATTGATTAGGTCGCAAAGTCACAATTGCACCAAAAAATATTTGCGTCACAGGAAGTCACCAATCGCGACCAGATATTCTGTCCGGAATGTCACAATTTGCAACCAAACAAATTTTCGTTCAGAAGTCACAATTGGACCAAACAAGATTTGCGCCACAAAATGTCACAATTCGCGACCAAATTTTGTCTCAAATTCACAATAGGCGACCAAAAAATGTCGGCAGAATGTTACAATTGGCGACCAAATTTTTGCGCTAAATTTACAAGTCCGACCAAATAAATTTTCTCTGGCGAATTCACATTGGCGACCAAATTTTGTCGTTGAAGTGATAATCTGGACCAAACTTTTGTCAAAAATATTACTTTTCCGACCAATGTTTGGCGACAAAATAAATTATCGCTAATAAATATTTAGCGACCAAAAATTAGTCGCGAAATCCAAGCTTTTGCCGACCTAAACCACAATTGGTCGCGAATTACTTTTGCCGACCCTCAATGGGCGACAAGTAGCGACAACAAAAAATGGTCGTGGATAACGGGTTTTGCCGACCAAAAATGACTTTAGCGACAATTTTTTTTGTTGCCCAAAGTGTAATTTCTTGTAGTGCATGTTAATTATGGATCTATACGTAGATTAATTAATATGGAATATACCTAAATTTGATATGATCAATCATAAATGTGAAATTTTGTGTGAGGGGCAAGAATATTAACTCCTTTTCATTTCAATTAAAGAAGTACGGAACACTTTAATTAATTCATAATTGACATTTGTGATTTTAAATCAAGTCAAACTAGAGATGGGAAAGAATAACTTTATCACTTTATAGATGACTATACTAAATATTAGTTATGTTTATTTTAATTCGAACAAGATGAAAACTTTGGAAAACTTTCATTCAATATAAGAATGAAGTTGAAAATCAACTTGGCTAAGAAAATCAGAAAAATTAGAAGTGATAGAGGTGGAATATGAATCGCCTGTTTGGTGAGTTTGTAAAGAATATTGCGAAATAATTCATTCAAACTACTGCTCCTTACTCACCTCAGTAAAATGGATATGCTGAAAGTAAAAATAGGACTTTAAAAGAAATGATAAAATGCCATGTTAATAAGTTCTGTGTATTACCTCAGAACTTTGTGGGAAGCAATACTTCTGCTAATTACCAATTTTAAATAAAGTACTCCGGAAGGGAAGTGAATCAAAACACCTTATGAATTGTGGCATGGAAGAATATAATCCTATAAATACTTAAAAGTGTGGGGGTGTTTGGCTAAAGTGGCTATTCCTAGTCCTAAAAAGACTAAGATAGGTCCTAAGACCATTGATTGCATTTTCATTGGTTATGCCAAGAATAGTAGTGCGTATCGGTTTTTGATTTATAAATCAGAACATTCCGAAATGCATGTAAATACTATTATTGAATCAAGGAATGCATCTTTCTTTGAACATGTATTTCCAAATCAGACTGGACAAGAGACTAGTAACAATAAAAGATCTCATAATGCTATTACTAGTCAGGATCAAGAACATGATCAAGAACAAGAGTTAGATCAAAATGAGAAAGAGGAACCTAGGCGTAGTAAACATGCTAGAACCTCAAAATCTTTTGGTCCAGATTTTCTAACAAATTTGTTAGAAAATGAGCCTTTAACTTTTAAAGAGGCTATGTCCAGTCCTGAAGCTCCTTTATGGAAAGAAGCTGTCAACAGTGAAGTTGAATCCATCTTGCAAAATCACATTTGGGAATTAGTGGACTTGCCACCAGGTTGTAAACCTCTTGGATATAAGTGCATTTTTAAAAGGAAAATGAAAGTAAATGGATCAATTGACAAATATAAGGCAAGACTTATGGTCAAAGGTTTTAGACAAAAAGAAGGTCTTGATTACTTTGACACATAGTCACCGGTTACTAGAATAACATCCATTAGAATGCTAATTGCCATTGCATCTCTATACAATCTAGAAATTCATCAAATGGATGTGAAAATCGCTTTCTTAAATGGTGAGTTAAATGAAGAAATTTACATGGAACAACCATAAGGGTTTTCTGTTCTTGGGAAAGAAAAGAAAGTGTGTAAATTGGTTAAATCATTATATGGTTTAAAACAAGCGCCAAAGCAATGGCATGAGAAATTTGACAAAGCAATGATGTCAAATGGATTTAAAATTAATGAGTGTGACAAATGTGTTTATATTAAAAACACAGATGAATGTTATGTCATTGTATGTCTTTATGTAGATGATATGCTCATCATTGGTAGTAATAATGACATGATTAAAACTACCAAGAACATGTTGAATAAACATTTTGACATGA